TTTTCAACATTGTCTACGGCCGCAAGGCCTTTAACAACCACCGTGATTAAGCGGCTTTTTCTCGGCGTGAGCTTGGAGTTTATCAAAGAAATTGTTCAGGCAGTACGACGCTGAAAATTTTAGTGTTACAATGCCTGAACAACTTTTTCTAGTGTGGTCATGGTAGATGAACAAATATTTTTATTGGTGTAAGTTATTTTGCTTAAATATAGCTGGACCAGTTCATGCCAAACGTCCCAGCCACTTTGGTGACCATCTGAAATGTATTTGAAAAAAAAATGTGCTGGCTTACTGCGTTGAAAACAGTGAACTGCTAGAATAATTCAGCGAAAAAAAAGTTTTGTTCATGTGGCTGGCGTATAACTTCCTGGCATAATGTGGTCTGTGTGCTGTTTGTGGAAACTTTCGTTTTAAACCTACCGCTTATTTTTCCTAAAGCAACTTCGGTCTACCTGTTAAGTAAATGTGCTTCTGTAAGGTATTTGAAGCTCAATAATATTAGTGCAATTTTTTCGCCACATCCGCTTCCAAGAATAAAGCCAAAGTGTGTTATGTTTGCATTTTTTATTGCAATATTGCACTTTGTATGAATATCTGAGCAGTAAATACTTACTCCACAGAAGGTATAATTTGAGGAAAAAATATCTTTAGACCTCTCAAGCTGCTGAAAGATACGAGAAAATATCACGAATTTCACAAAATCGTGATTTTTGTCCGTATTGAGATGCAATTTGCTCCATGTTGTGATACAATGAAAACTTATCATTATACCTAAATTGTAAGAAAATGAAATTCTTTTTGTAATAAAAATCTTATCGCAAAAAGGACAGGAAAGAGCGCTGTCAACTGAATTTTATTGAAGGCGCTACGAGCGTTTTTATACTGAGCACAAGAACAGGGCTCATCTGCAACAACACATGTGTGACCATGACAAAAAAATTTTGACCGAGAAATGAATACTCTTTTTCAGAAAAGATAAGTGAAGGTGTACTGTTGCATTGATCCTTGGCCTTCCTGATAAAGAGTTCTAAAATCTCTCATTTTTTCTGCTTGCTTTTTTTTTCAAAAACCATGTTTTATGAAACTTAGGACAACACTTACATTCTTTACGGTGTCCAGCCATGAGACTACTATAGCCCTTCTTAACATTTAAAGCATGCTGTCTTGCTTGATCCTTGAAGCATTGCCCAGTTTGTCTTATGTTTACTTTCCACATGTTAGCGGTATCTCATACACATTAGATTGGCATTCAGTAAACCTATTCTAGTGACGAATGGTGCAAGTTTGACTATTCTTGTTGCTGTAAGTACATGCACTTTTGAAAGCTTGCAAGGGGTGGAAAACAACAATGTCATATCTGCTGGCTCTTTTCCTAAAATTGTGAGACACCTTATGTACGTAATACCTTTAACATGCAAAGGTCATTGGTCATTCTCTTTTTCTTTTGGCCCTGTTTTCTTTAACTTTACTTTCTGCAGGAGGGTTTTACAAACAAGTGTGATGATGCTGTTGGGGTATTGGATGGTGCTATCAGCCCAGGATTGCTAAGAATGTTCTACCTTTTCATAGTGGCCATTCAAAATCATTACAAAGAGGAATCGATACCACATGTATTCAGGCCACCCTTCAGAAGTCAGGTTAGCACAAGGTTGAGGTCAGGCTTAAAACCAGATTAAATGACTAAAAGATGCTGGATATCCCAACAGAATCATCACACCCGTTTGCAAAACCCTCCTGCAGAAAGTAAAGTTAAAGAAGACAGGGCCAACAAAAACAATGACCAAAACCTTTGCATGTTATACCACATCACGTGCCTCACAATTAAAAAATAGCCAGCAGATCTGATATTATTGTGTTGTTTTCCACTCCTTGCAAGCTTTCAAAAGTGTGTGTACTAAACAGCAAACTTTGTGTGACTAAACAGCAAAAGTGTGTGACTAAACAGCAATTTAACGTTTGTAGAAGTATTTTTTATCAGGTAAACCAATGATCAGTGCATCACTACACGTTCACTTGCCCTTTTCGAGAGGGAGTATTCTTTTCACAGTTGAGGTTATCTTGTAGTGCTCACACGTGTCGTCGCGCATGAACATGGTTCTTGTACTCCGTATAAAAGCGCTCGTAGCACATTCAATAAATTCAGTTGACAGTCGGTGCTCTTTCCTGTACTTTCTGTCTCCTGCTGAAGTTGTCGCGCTGTGACAAGCACACAACCACGATGAACCAACTCACCCAAATTAAGCTCTTGTTACGTAACACGTAGACCGAGTTTCGTATAGAAAGAAAGACCGCGGTGCTTTTAAAAAAAATTTTCACGTACAACACCTAGACGGCATTCCAGGAAGTTCAGAAGGCAGCCACGTGACCAAATATTTTTCCTCGCCTAACTATTACAGAAGTTCACTATTTTCAATGCAGCACGAGGTTTTCGAATACCTTTGAGATGGTTGCCAAAATGGTGGGACATTTGCATGAAATGACCCAGTGTGTCATTAGCCATAATTATGCATTACCTCTTGTTTTTTGTGTGTTCCTGACTCAGCGTTGTGTTCGTTTTTAGCTTATTCTGTTTCTGATCATTGTATTGGTTCTTAAGTATTCGCTAAATGTTAAATGTGCCAAAACCGTATATGTTGCATGTACATCATTTCTCATAATCGTATGGTGGTTTTGGGTCATTATACCCACATATCAATCAATTATATGTAGGTGTTCATATGGGTTATTTTATTGCGTACACCCGTTTTACACCTGTTAGGGTGTAAATTTTTTTAGAGTGAACAAGAAAAATTAAGAATTTCGGTCTGCGACAAATCTTTGTAACACCGCTCGTACTGGACAAATTCAAAAATATCTGCGGCAGTGTGGTACTGAGCTCTTTCGGTAAATTAATTGCATGGCTACTTGGAAAGGTATGCAGAGCCTCTTTAGGCACACATGTATGTTATGACACAAACAATTGAAATTAAGTGCTTGCTGGTTTAAATATAAGCAGTTGATCTCAAAAGAATATTTTATTTATTTATTGTTCGGCCAAACATGTGAGTAGTGTTTGAAAAATTCCAATCTGAACTTTCTTTCAGAAAGTACGATCCCTTTAATTAAAGCTGACCGCGCACGCCCGAGAGGCGCCTTCACATAAGTATATCCAGTGCTCGAATATCTTCAGCGAGCTTCCCCGCTTTCTCATCAGGAAGTGGGCATACTGGCATCCGAGTGTCCCCGAAGTTCAGTCCACTGACCTTGTTGGCCGCTGCTTTCAGAGTAGCAACAGGGAAACCTGGAAGCATAATAGACACGTGTCACACTCTGGAGAGCTTCATATTCAGTTGGTGAAGCAGCTCAAGCAATGGTACCTAAGCGCCTAACACCAGTTGCTGCATGATTGATAGGTCGGGTTTAACGTCCCAAAACTACCAAAATATTATGAGAGACACTGTAGTGAAGGGTTCCAAAAATTTTGATTCCTTGGTGTTATTTAACGTGCACCTGAACCTGAGCACACGGGCGTGCACCATTTTTTCCTCCATCTAAAATACAGCCGCCACACCAGCTGCTGCATCAAAAAGTTAGAGGTACAGCCGTGGTAACATCATCGAGAGTTTATATTTGTGAGCTGTAGCAACACTGGACGTTTGTGGTATCTTTCAAGTACTGGACATTGAATCATGTAAGGTTACGGACTATGTTGTCTTGAGTACACTTTGCTAAAAAGTTAAAAAAATTAAAGAACGACCACGAGCGCAGAGGGTGGAGAGCACATGTTCCACCCTCACCTATAGTCATGCTGTCATATCCGCCCAGTTCGATATTTGAGCACACTGCATCAAGGTCACCGAAATGTCCTTATTCTGCATTTTTCTTCAGGGTTGGTGTCCTCTTCCTAATTTCCATGACGCACTCTTAAGAACACATGAAGAAGAACATTCACTACAGTAATTAAATAAAACGTGCCTGCTGAAATACATGACGGCAATGTTCGTTTTTAAGGGACCTGATGGCCTGCTGACGTGGTGGTTATGGCTGAACAACTGTGCTGTTGTTGTTGTTTTTTGTAGGTGGTGGACGCTTTATCTCCAGCTTTAAAAGCTTCGATCTTATGGGGGACGTGGGAAGGGGGGAGTGTTCTATGCATGGCTACACCAAAGTGCGCCACATTATACCTTGTTCAGGCAGTCAGTGCACTTAGTGAGTGTCGACTAATCACACAAATGACACAGATGAAAGAAACAGGTACATGAGAATTGGCCCTTACTTCATTGAACAAGCGTCGCTCCTATTGTATTTTCCATCTTATAGTAGTTTGCGCGCTTTATCGATGAAAACTGCGTTTCGCTCACATTACTTTCTGCTTCGATTTATTACTAGACTCGCAAGCAGCTAGTACTGGGAGCCTTGCTTGTATCAAGATGGTTAACGTATACTAACAGTATAAGCAAAACGGCCCAAAAATGTCGTGCATTTGTAGCCTTGTAGGCACATATGCTCAGATTTGGGTGCACGTTAAAGAACTCCAGGTGGTCGAAATTTCCGGCGCCCTCCACTACAGCGTCTCTCATAACCGTATGGTGATTTTGGTTCAATAAACCCCACATATCAATCAATTATTTGTAGCCTTGTTCATTACACCCCTAATATAAGGGTGTAAATGGGGTGTTTTGAGGATGTTTTAATTACAAACACCTCAAATTTAAAAAATGGGGCGTAAAAAGGGTGTTCATAAGGGTGATTTTATTGCGTACACCCGTTTTACACCTTTTAGGGTATAAAATGCTTTAGAGTGAACGAGAAAATAGAGAACGAATTTCGGTCTGCGACAAATCTTTGTAACACCGCTCGTACTGGACAAATTCAAAAATATTTGCGGCAGTGAGGTACTGAGCTCTTTTGGAGATAATTGCATGGCTACATGGAAAGGTATGCAGAGCCTCTTTAGGCACACATGTATTTTATGACGCAAACAATTGAAATTAAGTGTTTGCTGGTTTAAATATAAGCAGTTGATCTCAAAAGAATATTTTATTTATTTATTGCTCAGCCGAACATGTGAGTAGTGTTTGAAAAATTCCAATCTCAACTTTCCTTCAGAAAGTACGATCCCTTTAATTAAAGCTGACGGCGCACGCCCGAGAGGCACCTTCACATTAGTATATCCAGTGCTCGAATATCTTCAGCGAGCTTGTCCGCTTTCTCATCAGGAAGTGGGCATACTGGCATCCGAGTGTCCCCGAAGTTCAGGCCACTGACCTTGTTGGCCGCTGCTTTCAGAGTAGCAACAGGGAAACCTGGAAGCATATTAGACACGTGTCACACTCTGGAGGGCTCCATATTCAGTTGGTGAAGTAGCTCAAGCAATAGTAACCTAAGCGCCTAACACCAGTTGCTGCATGATTGATAGGTCGGGTTTAACGTCCCAAAACCACCAAAAGATTATGAGACACACTGTAGTGAAGGGTTTCGAAAATTTTGATTCTTTGGTGTTATTTAACGTGCACCTAAACCTGAGCACACGGGCCTGCACCATTTTTGCCTCCATCTAAAATACAGCCGCCACGCCAGCTGCTGCATCGAAAAGTTACAGGTACAGCCGTGGTAACATCATCGAGAGTTTATATTTGTGAGTTGTAGCAACACTGGACGTTTGTGGTATCTTTCAAGTACTGGAGGTTGAATCATGTATGGTTACGGACTACGTTGTCATGAGTACACTTTGCTAAAAAATTAACAGAATTAAACAACGACCACGAGCGCAGAGGGTGGACAGCACATGTTCCACCCTCACCTATAGTCATGCTGTCATATCCGCCCAGTTGGATAATTGAGCACACTGAAACAACCTTTCCAACGAAGCACGTTGTTAATGGTTGCAAGTGTTTCTGTGGGGTATACTTCATACGCCATATCAAAGTCACTAACTAAATAGGAACAGCACCAATTGCTTTCGCCATGTACGCCATGTACGCCATCGTATCAGGAGGTACCGTGAACCACGCATACAATTTGTAGCACTTTACAGTGAAACATGTTGCAAGACCACAACAAGGGCACCTCAGTTATCTGCCACAGCAACCAGTGTCCATAATCGCTGTCGCGAGGAAAAAAAAGAAGAAAGTCAAAAATTTACAGACACCACATAGAGTGGGAATCAATGATATGCGGCTCATGAATGAGAAATGTTATCTCGCACTAAAATCAGCACAACGTTACGAGGGGGAGGTAAATGATGCCATACATGACTTCCATATCATGATTATCGTGTTTGGATGTGTCTTTTACCTTCGTCATCTATTCAGGTCACATGACAATAAATTTAGTATATGTGGAGCTAGTGAAACTGCCGCGAGCACGCTACGAACGTAGTATGTTGTGATGTTCTTACATGACACGCGTTTCTGGATTATCATGTTTGCACCAGTCATATATTTCTCCATCCACTGACGTCACACACCACTAAATTTGGTATATGTGCAGCTAGCAAAACGGCCGCGAGCGCATCACAAAGGGCCCAATATACTCTAATGTAGCGTTGACGCGCACGCACACTGGGCACAGCGACGCTACGTTAGCAAAACGCGAGCACTCAACAGGCTACGACGAAGTTTCTTGAGCGGCACCTGGGTGATGTCGACGCGACGCCAGGCGCAACCCGCGTCCGTCGGCGCGGCCCGATGGCAACCGGCACGAAATGAGGCATGCTGCATTTTGCGCCGATGCCATAGAGTAACATTACTCTATGCTGATGCGTACCCCTACAACACTGCGTCTCCCTATTTTCGCGATGGAGGGATGCCGGACGCCCTGAACTGCGCATGCGTCAAAGCAATGCAGCGTGGCTTGCGCCTGCGAGTATATGTCAGGACCGGTACCTGGCGTGGCAACGCTGGCGTGACGCGACGAAATGAACGCCGGCGAGCAAGCGCCCCGCGTCATGTCGAAATGTATTGACGCCTTGACTGTGGTATGTAGTCTTGTTCTAACATGACACGCATCTCATGTATATTTTGTTTGCATAAGTCACATACCTTCGTCATCTATTGGTGTCACGCAATACCAAGTTTGGCATATATGAAGCTAAGGAAATAGCCGCGAGGGCATCATGAGTGTGGCATGCAGTCATTTTGTTACAGGACACGCATGTCGTGATTATCCTGTTTGGATGTGTCATTTACCAATGTCGTCCGTTCGCGTCGTGTAATACCGAGTTTGGTACACGTTAAGCTAGCTAAATGGCCGCGAGCACATCATGAGCGTAGCATATTGTGATGTTGTGACATGACACTCATCTCATGTTTAACATGTTTGCACCAGTATCATACCTTCCTCATCCATTCACGTCCCGTATTAACAAATTTTGTATAAGTGAAGCTGGCGAAACGGCCGCCAGCGCATCACGAGTGTGGCATGTAGTAATCATGTTACATGACCCGCATCTCATAATTATCATGCTTGCACCAGTCACCTACTCTCGTTATCCATACACGTACCTCAATACTAAATTTGATATATGTGACGCTAGTGAAACGGCCGCGAACGCATTATGATCGTGACATGTGGTCATGATGTTCATGACACGCATGTCATAATTTTCATGTTAGGGTCTGTCGCTTGTGTTCACCATGCAATCATGTCATACCATTCCAGTTTTGCAGCATGTCATGTGAACGAAACCACCGCAAGAGCTGCAGGACCATGAAGTGTAAATGACATTCATGACATAGGTGTGATGATATTTATGTTATTACTAGTCAAATAGGTTCTTCATACAGTCATGTTACGCCATACCAAGTACTGTATCGATACCGTTATCGAAAGGCCAGGAAAGCTAAAAGTGGTAGGTGGCGAGATAGATAGATAGATAGATAGATAGATAGATAGATAGATAGATAGATAGATAGATAGATAGATAGATAGATAGATAGATAGATAGAGCGATAGATAGATAGATAGATAGATAGATAGATAGATAGATAGATAGATAGATAGATAGATAGATAGATAGATAGATAGATAGATAGATAGATAGATAGATAGATAGATAGATAGATAGATAGATAGATAGATAGATAGATACGATCAATGTCGCCAAGTTCGCTAAGAAATGCTTCGCATTTAAGAACTCCAAATTCGAGCGCAGAGCGCTGCACAGACAGAGTGCAAGCAAGAAGAGGGACATTTCTAGAACCCGTTGTAAACTCTCTTGGGGATGCTGATAAATACTTCGATGTTACCCATTACGCCATGAATTAGCACTGTGCCTAATGGTGATGAAGAATTATGGCTGGGCCCTTTCCGATTGGTTCTTAAACGTTCCATTTATGGTGACACCAGTTACGCCTTGTGTACTTTACTCGTGTAGAGGAACCGCATCAGCATACGTAAGTACACTAACGTGCTTGCTTCCCGACATAACAATTATGTAGATTCCTTTTGCGAAGGAGTTTTCACTGCTGTCATGACTTTGTGATAGAACACCGCGCTGCCACGACATGAACCCAGGCTGGAGTTTTCTTTATTCTGGACATGCTTATTTCTCGCGATAATGGTTATGGAGGGTGGCGGCTGTGGACAGCTATGGCACTCCTGGTGTAATCTCAGCTTTAGCAGTATTATCCAAGATGTGATGAAGTTCAAACCTAGGCCCTCTGCATGGCAGTCAAGTATTTACCACACAGTTATACTAATAATCAAATCTGCTTTCCCTAAAAACCATAAACAAGGTTTATGTCGCCCAGGCACCACGTTATAGCCTATGCAATATAACTTGGTAGAAAATTGAAATACCATGCATGCATCGCACAATACCAATTGCGTAACGAAGGGCTGTTTGGGTGTATTCAACCCGTTAAAAAGGGCTCAGACATAATACTTGATCATTAGCCGCCGCATCAATTTCTAGCGATGTGGGTACCTTGCAAGCATGCTTGTATTAGTAGCTTCAAGACAGTTCGCAACCGCTTCTAGATTTGGCGCTTTTCCACCTGTCACTGTGACTGTGCTTCGCTATCGACGTCGGCCGGTCGTTATTAATAATAAAAGGAATGCTGGGGTGAGTTCGTTCATACCGAAGGAAGACTTAAACATAGCAACAAAGCAGACCCCCTCCCCCCAAAAAAACAGACACAGCATTGTGGGTGTGCGTCTCATCGGCCGTTGTCCTTTTGCACTGCTAAGTCTTTTACTTTATAAAGCATGAAATTTTATTCGCACTCGTTGTCGGTGACCTTAAAACATCCTGGAGTAAAAATTGAGAGCTATAATCCCAGCATCGGGGCTAGAAAATAACGAGGTCATTCAATCAACCAGTCAAAAGATAAAAAAAATTGCGAACTGACAGCTCATTTCATTCTATGTACACAGAACCTCATTAATTACGCTAGTTCTTGCCCGAAAAATATACAAAAATATCATTTCTGTATAGGTGATATTTCTCACATCACTGAAGTTCTGTATTCAAGGCACATATGTTTTATTTGTGAGTTTCAAAAGACACGTTGGCATGTAAATTATAATTTACAGGGCACAATTATTTTAGTTTCATTCTTTTGAGCAGCAAGTAAGTTGGCTGGGCTCGTAGACAAAGGGAGTTTTGCATCGTTTTCAATAGATTGCGCCATGATTGGTCAACATCAAACGGACTTTGTTCGGTAAAAGTAAGACTTGCTCGTGGTAACGTCCTAATCACTCGTACGCGCTACAGCACGCCAGCCTTTGGCGTGCCCTCTCTTTATGCGCACCTTCTCTCTACTGAGAGGGAAGGTGTGCAAAACTAAAAAGACTAGGCGCCACGCCCTCTCCCTATGGGACACCGTGCGGCGCTGGGTCTACACGTTGTAACGAGTACGAGTAATTAGGGCTGAAGTATTGTGGCTTATGTGGCACCGAGGTCGTACATGATGGGCAACGCCCAATGTTCCTCTCACACATAAACGTCAGGTTATGGCCCTAGTACTGACCATGCTGTGCACAATTTGGTGTGGTCTGGTACGGCTTTGCCCTGAGGAGTCATAACTTTTCCAGATTGCTGCTAGCACCATCCACAACCGCTCCTCGTTGCCGCTAACCATCTCTTGCTTATGGCTATTCTCAAACGCGGCAGAGCTATTCTTGTATATATTCTTACTTTTCCGTTTTAAACGCAGCCTGCTCAATCTCGGTACCCTCTCTGGCTATCCTTCATTTTATTCTGTTGCTCTAATTTTTTCCATCGTGTAAGAACTGCAATTTTATATAAATGTAGATTATTAGGAGTCCAAGTATAAAAAAGTAGGTGTATGTCCGCGAAATGTTGTTTGTGCATACTGACCCTTAAAACCCCTACTGGGCAGTAAAATGTATTAACTTCCTAATCGTAGAAGCATGCTGTGTAGTCGGCAAATTTTACAATTATTAAGTTGCAAAACATACCGTAACGGCAGAGGGTATCGATACCATGCTTCAGTTTGTCCTGAAAAGTGAATAAAGTGAGAAGGAGGAATAAAACGAGTCATCAAAAGTTTTTATGCGAGAAAAGTTTTAAATATGTTGAAGCGTTGTGACTGATATTGAAATGCAAAAGTCAGTAGGTATGTCACTTGCGTTTGAGAAATATCGCGTTTGACCTCGTTTTATAGACTAACGAAGAAGTATTGAAAACAGATTTAAAGAACCACTAGAAATAAAGACAGCTTTCATTGTGCGTATTTTGTGAAAATAAGAAGTATGCACTAAACACGATTACCCGATTGTAACATTACGTTTGTAGCTAGTTAACTGCAAACCGTTGGACGTGAACTTGTGCTAGGTGTAAGTAATTAAAAGACGCGGAAATTCCACATATACGACTGACACGCGCACAGAAGATGCACAACCACTTGTCGAAAAACTCGTGCAAATTTCGTTGGTTTATTAACTTCCGTATTATGAGCCGCAATCTACAAAGTGAGATAGTTGCTTTCTTTCTTGTGATAGTTTCAATACAAAATGACTCGTGTTAGAATTTTCCACAAATGGGTCTTAGTGCAAACCAAAGTTCAGATCATCATCAAGCATCATCACTCAGAGCCAATTGTGTACATACGACATGTAACTAAAATTGCAAAAATGAATTAGACAAACTGAGTGATTTTGGCTACAATTAGGAACCAACTCGGTAGGTTTATTTACTCTCTATGTTGCGATCATTACTTACTGCATTCACACTGAATGTTCTGGCACTGCATATCCAGGAGCTGTGGTCTCATATATTTACGCATCCAATTTAAGCATGCAAGAGGCTATTTGTCGTCGGTGATTTATTTCGTGCTCTACAGGTAAATTCCTGAAGATATGATTCTCATTCCACTTTTCCCAATCACAGTTAGCATGTCCAAATTTTTAGCATAAAATAAGCAGGGCAGAGTTTTGCTCGAACAGAGATTTCAGTTCCGGCCTCATAAGACGGAAATTAAAGCAAATGAATGAAAGCTACAGGCGTGGAAGTCCGGTTTATTACGTTTCGTGAGTCAAACAATATTAGCAGAAAAAAATCTGCGAAATTATGACCCCATCCGTCGTTCGCGCTCAGTTGTTTAGAAAGCACAATCTTGACAGTGCTCGTGACATGGAGCTCTTGTGGGTATATATATATATATATATATATATATATATATATATATATATATATATATATATATATATATATATATATATATATATATATATATATATATATATCTATAATGAAAAATGCTTTGCAGCATTTTTCATTAGTTTCAGATTCGCTACCACGAGACAGAATTCTGTAGGTTACTCGAATGGCTTTCTCACACGACATGCATATCTCTTCGTACCCATAAGAATGAAATAAGCACGTTGTGTTAATTAAACTGTTGAAATTTTGCGCAGGTAAAAAGACAGATTATGTGAAATGCACATTAGGCAAGGACACATAAAACATCGTCACAATAGAACATTGGCATTCAGTTGCTTAAGCACGCAAAACTATTGGCACAGATCATAAATCAACAGAGTGAACTTCACAGATTTCTGTTTGCACATTCAAAAACTGGGCGAGTGTACTGTTTTAACTAAGCTGAGTTTTACATTATTAAGCACAGTGATAAGCAAACCGTGGTCAGGTTTGTCATTCTGTATTTCCTAGATCTTGTTTATGCAACTATAAACGAAATACAACTAGTCTGACCTGGTGACGGCGCGCACTGGACATGTCGCCCTTCTCGTAGAAATCAATAATCTTTTTTGCGAGATGTCCTTGGTATGTGAAGGTCCCTCCAATGGCCGCCGTCACGCCCAAAGCTAAAGCGGCAAGAAGCATCTGTGGTGAAGAAAGAACGTGATACTTTAGGTGACAAATGTAATTAGTCATTTTATCACATATGATCGTTTCCTTAGCAAAAACGTTGAATGGCGAGAGTGGGGCTCATTCGAAACAACGTATTCACGTTAGTCTCTGAATGTACAACTTAATATAATTTCGCACAGCTGGTGCTTGCTAAGCTCCACTACTGGCCTGCTTTCTTGTGGCTGTTCTTTGATCCTATATTTTACTTCATCTGTCATTAAGTGAATATTGCTTTCCAATAGAATTTTTCGAACCAAATCAAGCGTTACAATGAGTTTGCAACCGCACTTGCCAGACAAACGAATTTTTTTTTGCATTTCAACAAAGAGATAAGAAATAAGCAACCAACTTTAAGTCATCAGAATGATCTGTTTTACACGTTCGCAAATATTAGCGTTAAATTTTAGTTGGAGTAGCTTCGTATGCGATGAAGTAATCACTGTGAGCAAGCATTTGTTACACCATGGCTACAATGCAATCATTTCACTGCTTGTCAACAGTGTTACCTTCTGAACCTTTAATATGTTAACCTGTTACGTTTAATATGCTGATGATTTCCCAAAACGTGTGCTTTCAAATATATAATATTTCACCTTTATTTTGTCATATCCACTTTTACCACCGTGCTCCACAGGCGAGTACAGATCGCAAAAAAAATTTACCCAAAAAACGCTCGAAAAGCACATTTAGTCACTCCTTTGAAATCAAAGTCTGTGATACTTTTTGTAACAATAGTAATTACATGTTCGAGAAACTCGTTTTAAGTGTGAATACACTTTATAAGCGACCCCAATCCATCCACCGCCGTCGGTGGCGTCCGCAGTCTTCTCTCTATCTTTAAAAGAAAGAGGACTTGGCGGGCCGCAGCGCGACGCTCTACCGAATAAGCCACGGACGCGACGCTGATGTCGGTGTCAGTAACGCGCCTTATACCCCCTCCCCCTTCGCTCGCTCCTCCGCTCTCCTCGCTCGCTGCAGCTGCGCGCGCACCCCTCTCTCTCGCGCGCCCGCCTTCTCTCTCAGTCTCCCGTCGAGAGCGGGTCGTGAGGGGGAGTAAAGTTAAACTCCGTTGGCATTCGCCAGTGAGTTAACGTAAACTCCCCCGTGTGATCAAATTGCGATTCCCAGGAACCATTACACCATAAAGGCACCATAGTGTGAGTAATAAATATAATAGTGCGAATTAATAAATACCCCTCATAGCATCACCCCGTGTATTCGCACTTAACCATGTTCACCCTCGGGGAAATGCTTGGGAGTTTTTTTCTTTCTCGCCTTCACTGCTCTTTCTACAAGCAGAAACACCCTTGCTCCCCTATATTTTTATAAAGCAGCTGTAGAACATCACTACTGAATTTTAAGCCTATCAGGATTTAGCTGGTGTCAGCTACGCCGGTTATCTCTGTCTGCGCAGTCTAAAACGGGTGAGACCAAGCGAAACACTATGTGTTACTAGGAGAAACGGGTGGGTCATTGCATGAAGAAACACGCTGGGAACCAATTGACAGATCATTAGCTTTGCATACGGACGAAGCAACAGTTTGTTCCTTTGGGTCTCAGGATGTCCGTTAAAAAAGCGAGGAACACCAGAATAAATACAAAAGTGCAGTAGTGTTGTGTATATTTAGAGGCGTATAGGGCCCTGCTACGTTTGTCGTATTAAGAAACCTTAAACTGTAATTTTAACAGCTTTATTTCATTTAGATATAACTGCTGCTGGAGATTTTGTTTTCCACATAAACTATGTTTAACAACTAGCAGATCACAAGGGCGTAAACCACGCTGTGTACCTGTGCCTTATTATGGCAGCAAGCGGGTTTTATTGTTTTTTTACAATACGCCTGGGCTTGATGGGCACCACGCTCAGGCGTTAGTAGGTGTGTACATACCAAATTCGAGCACACTCATCCGTGAGCTTTAACTGTTGTCGCATGCGCATTTTTGCCGAACCTACGTGAAAGTTTGTGACCACATACATGGTGATTTCGAGAATTGTCTAAATAATGGGACAGGAAAGTAGCGCGTGCAATGTGGACCTCTAAACAAAGCAGCGTAAAAGAAGAGGCCTGCATTGCAATGTGCCGAGTGTACCAGCGCGTGCTGTGTCTGATTTCACCGTCGTAAGCGATTAAAAGGTGTTGATATAGTTAACGCTGGCGCAGTATTGTCAAAGAAGCGGCTGATTGTGTTCACTCTGTTTAAGGAATGCTACAATCTCTGCAGCGCATAGCGCTGCAGAGATTGTAGCATGGCTTACACAGAGCATAGCTTACACAGAGCATAGCTTACACAGAGCATTGCTTACACAGAGCATTGTAGCATATAAATTGTAGCAGAGATTGTAGTGGATGTACAGCACTGATTGCAGTCAGAACATTAGACTTCATGACCAGAGGTATATAACCGTGGCGTTCCCAGTTCCTTATTATGAGCTTCGCTACGTTAAATACTTTGAATTAGGTGGCAGGGCGTCTTGTGCTGATCATTTCATACATTCAATAATAAAAGCATTGGGACATCATCAATATGAAAACTCTTTAACATCTGCGGTAAACTTGAAAAACGATCATTTGGTTGCCTAACTGAAAGACGGAAACGTCACCATCAAAACCTTACGTAAAAAAACTGGTCATTTATTCCAATAGTTGTCTTTACACCATTTTCCTGCTCATGACTTTTCCCGAAAAAAAAACGACATCAAAAAGCGCTATAATTTCTGTAACGTACCTCTTCGTATCCGAAGAATATTTTGATGTGAGCTTTATCTTTGCGCAAGAACCCAGCCAAATCGGTTAGTTCGTTGCATGAGTATTTCGCTCCGCACAAGGCTGGCACCCGCCGCTGTACTTCTGGCAGAAATTCCGTCATACGCACTGTAAAGAAATTATTCATTTACGAGCTCAAGACTGTATCTTCGATCATAAATAACAACTGATCGTTGAGAAGAGCACAAAAACTTGTATTATTTATGATCTGGATCGTAGTAACCAGGCATGATCAAGATAAAGGAAATATCAAATGATTTTCAATGACTACGCATTGATTATAGTGGTTTCCTAAAAGAGTGGCAGGCTGGATATCACACATTTAGCTTCCTAATTAACACGCGAAGGATGACACGGCGCCTTTCAGAAAGATCGATCCTCCTAACAAAACATCGACCAGCCTGTCTGAGGCACTTCAACTGTTCACTTTGTTTATCCCACTTCACAATGACAAGGTGTTGTTTATAAGTGGTTTCCTAAAGGTGTTGCAGACTGAACATCACATGTTTAGCTTCCTTGTGATTTTATAAAAAACTTGAAACTCAGATATTTTTTTCACGGAGAGAAATTAGGGGACATTTAAAGAGTAGATTCAAGCTTGCTCGTTACCTGCACTTCGTATCCAAACATTTGCTGCACGTCATTTCAGCAATTATTCACTAGTTTCTCGCAAAAAAGGACTCGCTATCTTTTTTCTCGTGAAAGTTCATACGGATTAAGTGATCTAACATCAGGTTCAAGTTAATCACCTGAAGTGAACAGCGCGACTTGTAATGACACATTAAACTTCAGTAAATCCTACTGATCGACCAACCATTTTTAGTGAGGCCACCAATCTTAGACTCCTTGCGTTTTATTGCCAACTATGTCTCTTTTAAACCTCTGTCTTATTCAGAGCGATCAGCAGAAAGAAAACACTGGTTGAAATTTAAAAATCAGTACGTGTGAAGCTCAACACATTCTGCAGAATTGGCTGATTGGTTGGAAACTTACTATGCAACAATGTCGCAGTGCCCAAAATGAAAAGGATGGTAGGTTGAAGGAGATACTTGGATCTACCTGAGGCTCATATTAAGAGCGAAACTGCTTCAGGCAGCACTTATAACATTGGCGTTCTAACTCGCTCGGCTGATATGCGCCGCAGCAGTCGCGCAAGCCTTGTAGTACTGAGCGCAGCTGGGATGAGTGTTAAACGAAAATTCTCCCAGGTGAAGAGGGGTACGTGAAACACGCGAAAGAGCGAGAGAGAGAAAAGTGACGCAAAAAAGAGGTAGAAAACATGAAGAGAGAAAGACGGAAATAAGGTCGTAGTTGAGGACGAAAACACGCGAAGGAAAGGAAGGCCAAGAAATTGAAGTAAATATATATAAAGAAACAAACATAGATATAAAAGGACGGTTAATTTAAGGGAGAAATAAAGACAACCAAATGGAATAAAATGTGGGAATCCAGAAAAGGACAACGAATTATGTACAGACCAAAAGGAAGAAATACAAAAGTATACAAAAAAGGGCATGCAAATAACAAAAAACAAGGTAGAAAAGAAAAAAATGCAATAAAAGGAAACAAGGAAGACTACCCAGCTTCGCTTCTTCTTCATTGCATCGGTAGTGTGCAGCTGTCATATTTTATTTCAGGATTGTTTTGTGACAATATATTAGGAATCTCTAAGTCAGTAAATTATTGTGCAACTATACCTTAAGGCGATCGAAAGCGCGAGTGCGTAAATTATTGTGCAACTATACCTTAAGGCGATCGAAAGCGCGAGTGCGATATCCGGTTATGGCGAGCAGAATTGAACTGAGTGAAAGGCACCAAGCTTCGATTTAGTTACGCAATCGGTAACCTCAGGTGGTCATAATCATCGTGAGCCTCGCATTCATATCATTGTACCAACTCTCCCTCGTCGCTATGAGCCAGTTTCTTCGATGACAGAGCTTAACAAAACAAAATGAAAATATTTTGCTTCCAGCAAGTGTAACTCCATAAAATTTGTTACTGCGTATAATTTTGAAGGGTAGTGTTTGGTCAGGTTATTTTCAAATATACGGGGCAAAAAGTGGAGCACAAGAGATCAAAATGTAAAAATTAATCACCCGGTATACAAATATCGCTTAGCTAAACATTTTTTCTTCCGCCTCTAGAGAATTTATTCAGCGGATGGAGCTGTTTTTTAAGTGTACAAATTGACTGCTTCACTGACCTTAGGCTTACAAGAAATGATCACTAGAATTACTGCAAATCTCACCATTGACGTATGTGAATGCCGGGATATGGTAGTAGATTATAGGTGTGTTCGGGGCAGCTTTAGCCACTTCTTCGACGTACCGTATAAGATGGTCTGCAAAGAAGGACATAATATTGCATATAGCACACGACAAATATATTCCTGTAGAAGATTATACATATGCTTAGCTAATTACTCTCTAGAAGGATCACTTAGGGCGACAAGATTATTACACGCTTTCTTAATGCTTTCCCGTTTATGTGGAGTTGGAGATACGCTACCACTTTCCTTTTTGAAATTACCTTGTGATACGAAGCCTTCACGCCGAAGTGTAATGACTCCGGAGCTTCTATTCTCTTTAGCTGAGTGTATGTGTCCAAAAAGTCTTATTAGCCGCACTTACAGAGCGTTCACAAAAAGTTTAAAAGAACTGAAGGTCATGTAAGTTGCAATATGAATCATTTCACAGCTAAAGTACAATCTACTGGGATGTCAATCTCAAGTTTTCTAAAAAAAAAAACTGCGCTGATTTATTTCAATCAAAATACTGAATCGCTAGAATACGTCGGAAAAATAATTTTGGTCAATTAGTAGCCTTCTGAATTTCGTAAACTCCAATTTGAATAATACACGTCAGAAAGTTTGTTTCTGAAAGTATCATTTCTCGATTCAATACAAAGTTTGGTTTATATTTTGAGCGAGGGCACTAGTCCAAGTTTTTCGAGCCCAAAAAATGCTGCAATTTTTTGTCTTATACGCATTCAGATATGCCAAAATCTTTCATGTTGGATTTAAAACATAGAGTGCTTTGTATCAATATCTAAGAAATCACTAAATACCCTTCTCAATTAATTTGTTGCTTTAAAAACATTTTGGTACCACTAAATCTTCTCAGTCTTGCGAGGAACATGCGAACTTAAAAAAATCATCGCGCTTGCCCACAGAGAAACGCAATTAGTATCCTGTGGGGCTTCTTCTATACGCTTTGTTCCTGAATCAAAACAAAATAGTTAGTCCTTATAAAACAAGTTTTACCATCAGAATTCGTGACAAGGAAAACATTTTTCATCTTCTCCTTTGACGAATACCTGCCTGTTTGTTCTTACGGCAGATTCCTCATTGTTGTTCATAATTTTTGTGAATGGCAGAAATTCGAAAATAGTTTTTATGTAATACTATGGTATACTAGACGTAATGTAAATCTTGCTGACATTTTTTACGCCTACTGCTATCAGTCTCCTCAGTACAAAATTTTCGCATCAGTTGGCGGCCTCCTTGCGTTTCCAGCTTGAAACATGCGCAACACAAAAGAAATTTCTCTGGCGTGTAGCACATACTTCAACAATTTAACAACTACGTGTTTGCAGTGGAAGAGCTATAGACTATTTACTGTCAAGAACAAAAGTTTGTGGGATGTGCAGCGCGTGGTGGGGCGGCGGAAAAATGCCCTGCTGCGCCATCTACTGTGTCTTGGCGTGGTGTCAAGGCTATCGTATGACCTCGATGATCAGCAATGATGCGTTTAGACAACGTGCCTCTGCTACATCCAAGTTCGGGAGCCGTGGTCACTAACTTTAAACCTAATACGTCGGCTGAGGGAAACAGACGTAGATGTTGGCGTTTACATTCGAGTCCTCTTCAGTGAATCAAAAAATATCATGCAAGTTTTTACATTCTGCATCACATTTATTACTCAAAAATAGTGTAATGATCTATCTGTACGATACTGCACTCCGCATTCATCGTCAATAGTGTGAAAATGGTGATTATTTATGTAAAAAACAGTAGAATTATTCTTCCACAGTGCTATATTAGTTTTTATTGTTGTATAACATAACTGTTCTGGGTTACGACAGCAAATCTCCCTTGCTTTCGGCAGCTTACGCAGTAAGGTTTATCCTAGCTATAGTTTCTACCAGAGAATGCAGTTCACGTAAAGAAACACTGTTTAATCGTGTTACCATGAATGACTACGGAGAAGCAACGAGCCTCACCTATAGACGGACTTCTGAAGTAGAACGGCGGTAATATGGAAATAGCATCCACATTTAGGCCTTCCGCGTGTGTGGCCTGAAAGAATAACTTTATATTGTGAATTCCTGACTAACATTCAAGCTGCACAATTAATCAAACCAAGAACGGTACATAGTACTTTCTCTACTTCCCGCTCCGTGCACCCTTATCTGAACAACAAAATTTGAAGCCCCATTTGTCACTTGAGAACAAGGCTTCATGTGGGGATTGTTGGCGCATAAACCCAGTGCCCACGGGATGAACTTCATATGGTAAATTGATGAGCACTGCAGCACAGACACACGCTACTGTTTATATCATAATGCCTCTATTCTCACATAGATGCAGTTCACCTTGTTGGATAACGGACCTTAAATTGCCTTTAAACAGGTCGTTTAATATTGATCTGAACAAGAATCCTAAACAGGAGTCTCGACAGGAAGGGACTCACGAGCTCTTGCGTGTCCAAGATGGATGCTGCGGTCACATGCACGATAACCAGGTCCAACCTACAAAGAAATTTCCTCTCATCAGACATTTTAGCCTACTCACGGCGATTTTTATGCGTGTGGTATAATATTTACCAAATTGTGCGAGGGATCCCCTCATACAAGAAGAATGGCGTAGCAACGTAGCGTTGTAAAATAAACATTTTCTCCGCTACAGGAAGACAAGCCGCACACTTTGCGGAAGTGTTATGATGTCACTTTTGACAATGACGAGTGCATTTCCAAGCATCATTGCGCACACGTGTACACAGTTTCACAATGTTTGAAGTAAGCTCACGAACGAACCAGGTTACTTTCTTGCCCTTTGATCCCCGGGAGGGGCGGTGAAACTTAAGGTAAAAATTTTGAAGTAGTGAAGTCATTGAGGCAACTTGATTCGATCCCAAAGTTAACACCATGCAAACATTGTCCTGTAAGGTACTGCTTTGGGTGCACCGAAAATAATCCATTTGAATATGTGACTTTCCTCTCAGATACGATACGGGCTCTTATTAACCACCTATTTGCATCATATCAGAGTGACTCTATTTTGTGGAAGCAAATCTTTGTGACGGTTTTTTTGCTGGACAGGAACAGTTACTTACTTCCTTTCGAGGCTTCAACCCATCTTTCGGCCAGTTTCTTTCTTTCGGAAACGGTTAGGGAAAGTCCTTCCCCGGTGGACCCATTCACTGCGCCAGGAAATCAACCACACACCATTTATGCTTTCATGAAGCATATAGTTTCAGTAGGAGATAAGTATTGACAAATTTGAATCTTACCGAATGCTCCAGTGACACTTTGCTTACGCAGGAGGCTCACATACTGGTCGATGAGATTGATGTTTATATTCCTGATGGCATACGTAAAGACAAATATAGTAGGTTTAAATATAAAAAAGAAGTGTTGTATTTAACTTTGACAATCGTTGCTAACATGCAAGAAAACACAGTAGCTTATCAAGTTAAGCTACGTACATTTTTACACGTGTCACTCAGGATGTGTCAGCGCGATTAGAAAAGACGTGAGGAGTAAGACTTTTCATGTACAGCCCAACTCACAGTGAAATTTTTTTGAGAACTTGCCGTTTTAGCGCTGTCCTGTCGCTCGCTTTATAGAGTAATAAGCGCCAAATTGACGATTCAATCCATTGGTGCAGCATTGTAGGGAACACCAGTATAATTTTAAACAACTGGTATTCTTTAATGAGTCCCCAAATCTAAGCGCTCAGGTGCCCTTCATATGACCTATTTATAAATGCGGTGAATATGCTTTTGTAATCATACGTCTGTGTCACAAATAACCTATAGCGCTTTCATCAGCACAGTTTGTAGGGAGGCTACATGCCTCGTACTTTCACAAATTATATGGTTTTATAATGTCTCACTAAGAAGAGGCGGACCAGTAGGCTAATCAATGTTAGAAATTTCCAGCAGCATACATCCCAACCAATTGATGAACCAGAGGGTACGAAGAAATTATTCACTACCTAAATAAAAAAACAATGACTGAAATGTTACTCTTTTCACTTCTTAAGATCAAAACATGATTGTCCTCATTCGGTGTAGCTATTACCCACTCGTACTTTTAATAAGTTATACGCCGACGTGAAAGCAAACGTATGCCACCATCAAGTACAAGGACAACAGAGTTACATTGACCCATGTCATCACCGCACAGTGAGACTAAAAGCACGAGCCAAAACCATCTATCATGGAATCGGGGCCAAGTTACGCTCCTCACTCTCTCACTTCGGTAATGATGCGAACCCTTATTAAACTTCTCAGCCAAGTATCTCCGAAAACGGGAGAAAACTGAACATACCGAAGCAATTGTGCGATTTGAAATTGTGGATCAGCAAGACTGTCTTCAACTTTTCTTTCGATACATGCAACCACTTATTGCAGTATACTGAAAGATTTCTTATTGAGCTTAGCTGGGTGGCTCACGAAAATAGTTCTGAATTTTTTTCGTGGTCATTCCAAAATACATAATTTTAGGCGGTGGTCCTCACGTTGCTCCCAGTGCCTAACTTTTAAAAAAACCATTAGGTGTAATCTTGTTTATGGCTTATATTGAGTGTAATGTTTAGTTGATCTTAATGTTATTCAGCTATGAATAGTCGGAATTCATAAAATAATCGCAGATGTACACTCACTCGCATGGTAAAAAGAGCCGCTCTCACAGAATATGGCTACTTGAACGGGTACTTATTAAGCGATTTTAACCTTATGTTACAAAGTGGAGTGCTTTTGAAAAGAGCGTCTGTCGCCTCGATTCTAGCTAACACCGCAAAACTTGTGAAGCATTCCAGACACAAATATAATGGTGCATTCTAGTGGTCATCCCCTGCTGTAAGGCTTTCACAATTCCGATCTCATTCGCTTGGTCACCAGATACTCTGTTTCCATGACCAAGACCATTCGATAGTGCTTCCACTCTGACTCTACATGGCAGCATTTTTGGTCCCGTAGCTACTACGGTGGTTCCAGGAGCAGCTGATTTTTTCACTGGTGCAAGACATCTCGGGTCAGCTGCCGACATAATGCCAAAACTCGGTCAACTAAGCCGCAATGTAATCAGGAATGAGTGGAACACAGCATATATCCAGTTGCAGATAACGCTGGCTCTTTGTGAAAGTCACAGAAGGGAGGAATTACTACAAGGCTGAACTACTGCCTAAATGCTATCCGAACGAAAGTATTTTATACTCAGAGAAAACGTTTTTGTTGAAGCGTGTATCACCCTTTGCTGTCGAAAGGCGTGAATGGGGCAACGCAAAGGCCACTGTAGTTTCTTATCTGAAAAGAAAACAAGACAAAATGTAAGTTAGAAGATGTGTACGCAAAAGTGACTGTTTTTCAACCACAGTCTTCTTTTCGTCCTCCAATAGAGATAATATGCAAGTCTATGGAAAGCTCAGTATTGAGCAATGTTTTGGTTAATTTTTCCTTAAAGAATTTGTTATGACAGTACCCTGGTATAGTAGAAAGTTTGAGCCTGTAGTCAACAGCTTGCAAATATTGAGGAATGTGCTTAATCAAACGAAGTAATCTCTAGCTTGAGGCTATCACAGAACGTGATATATATTTAGTAATGAGTATAGTGCGGAACCGATTCTCTAGGAATCTAATTTAGTCGATCAACATTTTCAACCCTACCCAAGCCAATTGTGCCTGTACGTATGCTAAATGTAGCAAAAGTCACTCCAGCAAATCGGTATATATAACGTAATGGCTGTTAAATAACACCAAGAACTTAATTTGGACGAGTCGGTTCACCGTCATTGTATAGTAGCAACAGCAGTGACAACTATAGGAAGAGGGGAAACCGACAAGAAGTAGCGCTGACTGTCAAGGAAATTTATTGAAGGGGCTACGACTATTTTTATACCGAGTGCAAGAACAGTGCTCATACGCGACGACACATGTGTGACCACGAGAAAATACTCGTAACTGAAAAAATGCTGTCTCTCTCGGAAAAGCAAACTAATGTCTGAAAGAGAAGTGCTGTTCATTTAGTCACTTCCCACACTTGTCGCACTGTTACTACAAAAAAACGAACGCTGTTAAATGCATGGACAAAAGTACATGAAGTTTTTTGTAGCGAAAGAAGCTAACCTATGGCAAATATTAAACGCTGTAAGTGTCATATTTCTCGCAGAAAGCACTCATGCGAATTTCAGCAGAACCGCTTGACTTTATAACTTGCAAGTTTGCACTATAGTGCAGTACATCATACGCCCTGGTGAGTATCGTAAATGATTACGGTAATTCCAGATTATTACATGGCAGGAAGACGTATAGACTAAAAGGGCAACATTTAGTGGACGATCACCTCAGCCTTGTATCCTTCTCGGCTATTCGCGTGAATGCCAGATTTTCAGCTACTAGCGTTTTTAGTACTACAGACGTAATATACTGAAATTTTCATGATAGGCATACGAGCCATTTGTCCGATGCTCGACAGCTTTCGTGTGATGCCCGTTGTAGTTGCGTAATCATTCTCGAGTATAAGGATTTAGCCAAAGGTAAACAATGGTAGTTCCGTGCAGCTACTAGTAAGGTACTACTTCTATTCACACCTATAATTGCCAAGAAAACGCACTACCAAATAAAAACTATAACAATACAAAAAAGTTGAGGTCACGCCTTGTTTAAGAAAAATAATGTAGTCTAAATAGGCATTCCAAAAGATGAAAAAGAAGCTAAATTAGTAAATACATTACGCGTACTTCTACTGGCAACGCTTAAAAAATGTGCTTCAAAATGCCAAAAGAATAAGTAAGCTTAAAAGAATGGATATCGCGAGGGTCGCTGTTTTATCATCATTAAAAAGGGGGCGTACTTGCCTTGGCTATCTTTGCCTCCATTTTGATTACCTCCACGGTCTAGCAGTGTCCGGACGAATTGCTACACTGACTCCCAGTAGAAAAAGGGCCTCGCAGTTCGTCATTTTCTTTTTCCTACAGAAAGAAGACACTGATACGGGAAGCGCGAGACAACAACGAGCAGGTGCTCTCGACCATACAGCTCGCGCAATCTCTGCCGCAGCCGTTTCAGATAACAGGAAGCAGCTGTCCTCTCTATCGCCGCGAATGAAACCGCATTGCTCGACGCTGAAGCTTGCTTTCTTACTACGCGGGTGTCTGCTGCGGAGAGATAAGATGGCCTTTGACTTTGCGTTGGATCCGCGTTTTTCTAGGCTTCGTTTATTTTACGGCAAAACTATCAAAACAAGCGAAGTCAGAGCGCACGTTGTCAAGCTTTGACCCTGGACGTCGCCAAACGTTCAGTTACTCTCACAGCTGCACTGCCAGAGCAGACAGTTATTTTCGCCGCTGAAAGCAGTTGTGAGAGAGAAGGGAGAAAGGGGAAAAGGTGTATTGTGCGCGTGACTTTTGCGAAGCGTTTGGAGATGCTCATTCGACAGAGAGAAAGGTCTACAAAACGCCGTCCGCGAGCCAACGACCTGGCTAATTCTTGCAAAACAATGTTGCGCAACCCGCATCCAGGCGTTCTAGATATTTGATTGGTGCTTCCTTCAAAGAGACTTCTATGTTTTGTCAGGTCCCCTCGACGATGTCCAGATGCATTATCGGATAATATAAGGTTGTCTTTAAAATATTTTTATGTTGCCACGTTATTGTTTGATATGTGCTTTGAGTGTGTTTTATATCTGTACTGGTGTCCGTATTTTCATATACTAGTTGCTGTGCGTGTAATATTTATGAAGTTGTATGTTTCATTTGCTCAAGAGCTAATGAGTAGCTGGCGTCTTGATTGTATACCAACATCTCGGTTTACATTCATTGCAATAAGAAAAGAACGTAAGTGGGTTGGCTTCCATTGATTTCCTGAAGCGAGTGACTAGTAAAGACGCACAAACATATCTTTTTATATACTTGGGTGTCCACGATACCCATCTCATACCAGGAATGGCCCATAATTGGTCACCGAGGGCATTTAGACCGGGACCCACACGATGAGTGTGTGGCAGCTTCTCAATTGGTCTGGGGACTCTTGCTAACTTACAAATGTTAACCTTAAGACAGTACATTTCGTGTTTTCTAACGTATGCTGTGCATTTCAAGGCTCTGTCAGGTTCGTACATTTAGTGATCATATAAATATCAAGTCTTGACGCAGCTAAGCCTCTTCAGGTCAACGCTATTCGAGTGTTAAACTCAATAAGACAGCCTGTACGTAGTAGTATCTCGATAGTATGCGTAACTTTTATGGTGAGCGTATCTTGCTGAGGTGGCTGAAACTTGCCAGAAGGGGTGGTGGTTATGATGAAAAACATTTATTAGGGCCGGTAAAACGGTAGAGATGGGTGCGGCATTAAGGAACGACTGTGTACAACCTTTAGGAGATGTCCCTAGCATGGGACCCCTGTGGCTTCCACGACGGCACAAGGCCCTAACCACGAGGGCTCTTTGACCCTCCAAAGCTGAGTGGTTGAGCAGGGCTGCGTCCCAGCTCTCTCGGGTAGAAAGTGAAATGAATGTGGTTAGAAGGACAGCAGGGTTAGATGGGCATGCCCACACCTCATGAAAAATATCCTCACGCGAATGATCAGCGTGGCCATTCCCCAGAGAAGGCCGATTGAAATGCTCAAGTATCGCCGGGCACAATAGTGTGTTGGTGACAATCCGTAAGAGCCAGCACTAGTCATCTATGTTCAGGCCCGTCTCTATGGACGGAACCCGGAGCCTGTTCGACTTATAGATCGTTCTGTTTTGTCGAAAGAAGGGGACTGGTGCGGCTTAGAAAATCACACGCACGAAAACAAATAGAATAAAAAGACAAAAGGTTTCACATTCAACAAGTGTGTGAGATGTTTATGGTAAGATGCTTATACACGTGTTTAAAATGTGAAGATCCTAAAACATATACATCATTAAAACCGCAAAGGAAAAACTAAGAATAATATTTTGAAATAGGAACCAATGCAGTTCACTTGGCAGCACTGTAATACAAGTCAGTGTCCATGTCGTAAGCGCCAACATTCCTTTATGCATTGTTACCATTTGAAAATGTCTTCCAGTCGGTGTAAAGTTCGGTGTCAGTGTCGGGGCCTTCGCGCTGTTGTACTCACAGCCGGTCTCTGTCCCGTGCACACCATGTCACAAATGGAGTTCTTTACCCACTCGAGAACCACACTCGCGCACAACCCTTGGATGCAATCCCTGTTCGTCACTCTTCGCACTACACTCGCGCACGTGAACACTTCGACGTTGATCGCGGATATTACTCTTTGCACTGCACTCGCGATAACCACTTGGATGGCGTACCTCGTGATTATCACCACATTCATCGTCTCCGTCGTCGCCATCAGAAGAGCATCGATCGTGGCATGCTTTCAAACGCTCAAATTAACAACGTGCCGTTTTCTCCTAGTTTGGTCTACCACCTCCCAATTATTCGCGGCTACCCGGCGCACGAGATGCAGAGGTCCCGGGTATATCTGAAGAAGGCCCTTTAGCCCGAGCGAGTGTTCCACAAGTACGCCAAGTCGCCCTCGTGCTAAACAACACTTCGGCGTTTAGCATCATAGCTGCGCTTGTTCTTCTCCTGCTGACGCCTCTCCCGCTATATTACCAGTCTTCTAGCCTGCCCGCAGTCGTCGAGCCACTTGATAGCATCCAGGGTGTGGTCGAATCCACGTTGCGCGTCCAACCTAAAATCTACAGGCAGCATCGGCTCATGTCCGTGAAGCAGAAAGAAGTTAGTGAATCCGGTCGTTTCGTGAGTGGAAGAATTGTACGCAAATAGGACGTACGCAAAAAATTCATCCCTTTCGCGGTGGTACGAGGGAACCTACATGCTGAGCATTTCTGCTAACTTGCGGTGAAAACGCTCGCACAAACCGCTGGGCTGTGGGTGGTATGCTGTTGTGGTGGCATGTTCGCTACCCACGAGTCGGAAAAATTCCTCGGTCAAGTTGGCGACAAAATGTTGTCCACGATCACCAATTACTTTCTCCGGTTCACCATGACGCAGGACGACCTGTTCGAGGAACTCCCTTGATGCCTCTGTGGCAGTGGTCGCTGGACATGTCACAGCCTCGACCCATTTAGTTTGGTAGTCGGTAAACACAAAATGCAGCGATTCTCTGTTTTGGATTTAATTTAAGAAAAGGTCCAATAAAGTCCATGCCCACCTGCGGAAAGGTCGACCTGCAGGTGGGATTGGTTGGAGAAAACCTGCCGACCTTCCGGGTGGTTGCTTTCGCGTCTGGCAGTCAGAGCAGGAAAGTACGTACTTGCTGACGTACGAGAACATCTTCGGCCAGAAATAGCAGCAACGCACTCTCGCCCATGTGCGCTTAGCGCTCAAGTGACCTGCCGTGCTGCCGCCATGGCAGTGTCTTAAAATCTCGGATCTCAAGCACTTAGTGACCACAAGCGTCGCGCGATCTTCCTGGAAGTTTCTAGCCCTGCGATATAGTACACCGTTGATCAAGCGGAAGTTCCGTGCTGATCTTTTAGTTTTTATTACAATGGGGGCATCCGGGTGCTCAAGGTGCTATACAATGTCTCTCATCTAAGGGTCTGCCCTTGGATTTTTCCCAACATGCACCTGATCAAGGACCAGCAACGTCAAGGTTTTTTTCTTCGCTTGCTGGTGCGGGATTATGAGGAAGGTGGGAAAGCGTGTCGGCATTTCCACTTTTGAGGCCAGCGTGGTGTCGCAAAATCATGCCAAATTCCTGAAGCAATAGTGACCAGCGCATCAGAAGACCATTCCGATTCCTTGCTTTCATTAGCCGAGCGAGGCTCGCTTGGTCAGTTACGACAGTAAATTTATTGCCAAAGATGTACGGCCGAAACTGTCCGCAGGCGTACACGACGGCGGGGCATTCTCTTTCAGTCGTGTTGTAGTTAATCTCAGCCTTGTTAAGGTGGCGACTGGCATAGGCGATGACTTGTTCTTGAGCTCCAATTTTTTGAACAAGAACGGCGCCAATGCTTTAATCGCAGGCGTTGGTGTGCACCTCTATCGGCTTTTCCGGCTCAAACTGACGCAAAACTTGAGCTGTGATCAACTTCTCTTTGAGGGATTGCATCGCTGCTTCGCAATCCGCATCCCCAGACGAAAGGAACATCCATTTTTGTTAAGTTTTCCAGAGGTGAAGAAATGTGAGAAAAATCCTTGATGAAACACCGATAGCGGTTACAAATTCTCAGAAAATTCTGCACACTTTCTTATTTCGTGGCTTGAAGAGTTTTCGATGGCTACTACTTTGTCTGGGTCTGGCTGGATGCTTTCGCCTGTGAGTATGTGTTCGAGATATTTATTTTCACGGTGGGCGAAGCTGCTTTTTCCGGGTGTCAGTCGCCAGTTTGCCATGTCCAAGGCCGAAAAAAAAACACTTTCAAAATCTTCCTAATAAGGTGGCATACTTTTGGAGAAAATACGATGCTATCCGAATAGGCCAAACAAACTCTTCATAGAACGCCGCTAAGGACATTGTTAATCATTCTCGGGAAAGTGGCCGGGGCATTGCACAGTCCGAATGGGACAACGTTGGTTTCGTAGAGGCCGTGTCCACAGGCAATTGTAGTATTTTGCTTATCTTCCTCTTTGATACCCACTTGCCAGTAGCCTGATGTTATATCAAGTATGGTGAAGTATTTTGACCCCTGAAGAACGTCCCGAATGTCATCAGTTCCCGGCAAGGGGTGCAAATCTTTTTTAGTGACCTCATTGACCCTTCGGAAGTCGACGCAGAAACGCCAAGTCCCATTTGGCGTCTTCATGAGGAAGACAGGCGATGACCAAGGACTGTGTGATTCTCGAATGATCCCATCGCGAAGCATTTTTTCAACTTGTTGCTCAGTTTGTTGCCTTTCAGAGAGGGAATGACAATATGGGTGCTGATGATTGGGTCGAGAATCACCTGTGTCGATCACGTGTTCAGCGACATGTGTTTGCCGGATGGGGTCATCAGTGCTTGCGAAGAGATGACGGTACTTCTCATTGAGTGGCAGCCGCTTCTTTTATTCAGATAACTGTAGGTGA